CCTCTTTTGGAAGACCAAACAAAGTAGTTTCGCTTTCACAACAAAACACACAGCGACTCCACAACATGGCAATATTACAGCAAGAATCAAAGTTACGCCTTCTTTCTTTGCGTGAACATTTGGGCACGTGATGCAAATCTTCCCACATTGTGACGTAGATATGTGGGGGCGTGTTAGAATGAGCCGTTTTAGGTAGGTGTGGCTGACTCTTAACTTTTATAAAGAATATCTCTTTGTATTTGAGACTTTAGTCTTTGCAACTTTACAGATCTTCTTTATGCACCAAGAGCTTGTAACACTCCAAAGAGAAAGGAAAAATTGAAATCGCATCATATGACCCCTTTAAGATAGCAGTAAAAAGTCTAACTCTAACGTTTAGATGTGCCATATTCAAAAGGCATATTGTCATAATTGCAAATTTTGTGGATTTTAACCTTTTAAATCATGCAGCTGAATTGCCCGTTCTATATCCGACGGTGCATTTTAAACCTTAATGGTCATTACAGGCTTTGCACCAAACGGTTCATGAGGACATGGGGAATGTCTGCCCAAGGGGATGTACGAAATCTATTATGTGGCAGAAAAGCACAATCCCTGAGGCAGTTCGTCTAATTTACGTGGGCTTATTACAATGAGATACTGACAGAGCTTGACAATATAGTCGCATTTTATGAATGACCTTCTCTTTAACTGCAGTGAGGAAAGAGGGGAGGGAACCGGGAGCATGCAGAGAAAAAAAAATGCCCCCGGGAGTGAGGTGTTTCCCCATTGGCTGTGTCCTCCGAGTCTCACATATTTATCTGTTCAGTTACACATACTTTCTCTAAGCCGATGGGTATCAAACACACACTTGCACTTGCATATAAACCCTATGCTTAAACAATCTTATGCACAGACTGGTGATATAACAAAACCCTGAAATAATTTCCATGATTTCCTGTATCCAGATGCCAGTTAAGCAGCATTGTAAACATAGATATCATTCCCAAATGAATCTGCTTACGTAACCCCATCTGACATTGTTTAAAATAAACCATCCCTTTACACACAATTTACCCAGAATTCAATGTATTGTTCTTTGATATGACTGCAAGCAAAAATAATGTTTGCTTGAGTGCTAAAGACTGAAATAGGGCACAGAAAGGACAAATTCAGATGGTTACGGTAGCAAGGAAAGGACAGAGCTGTTAAGGACGAGTCCGAATGAAAGGAAATGGTGAAAATGACAGGAACAGGAAAGGACGGACAGACCAGACCCAAGACATAAAAAGACATGGGGAGGAGGGACAGTTTTAGGATAACAGACATAGGACAGGATGTCCCAAAGCTTGCAACGTGTCTGTAAGCGACGCAGGCTCTGAATTAAAGACAGTTGCCTTTTAACCAAAACCACTTTTGAGAAGAAAATCCCCTCATTTCTCAGTTCACAGAGAGGCAGGAGACAAAATTTCTCTCATCCCCCATTCTAATCTGCAGCTCTGGGATGCACACTCACACACACATATACACAGCCTAACAAACACACACTCAATATCTCTCTCTGCGAGCTGTCTCATCACGCTCTCTGTTCTCTTTATGCTGCTCTAGCCGTGACACTGTCTAAATATCTGCTCCACCTTGCCTGCTAATGCTGCTGCTTTCCACTCTACTCCACATCAAGCACAATTTGGGTAATTGGTCACACTGCATGGGCTAATCCTTTGTTATTGTTTTTATTTTTATGGCAAAAGCTTGACCATGACCTTTGGGAACAGTAACGGCACATATCCCATATGGTTATAGGGCCTCTAGTAAGTTTAACGCAGGATTTGAAATGAACCAGAAGAGATTTCTAAAATCATTTAACAACCTATAACTTTAACTTTTTTGCTTTTCTAATAAGGTTAATCTTTTTGGAATGTTTTGTGGCTAAATACACTACTATTCAAAGGTTTGGTGTCATATATATATGACACCAATATATATCTATATATATCCCACAGATCATGTTTTCATGCCATTTTAAGTCTTATTTTGATGTAACAAAGTGATTATATCTAAGTGTTAGTTGTTTGTTTACTTTTTTTGTCTTCCTATTAATGCCATTATATTGTTCATTCAGACTGATTCGCGAACACACACAAACACAACTCCTCTTACGTGACTTTCCCCCATTCATTCTCAATTACCCCCACCAAACTCACCGCATGCTTTGGGGTCTGTTAAAACTCAATGGGCTCAGGGGAGGTGAGAGAGACGAGGACTCCTGCTGTAACTTTACCTGCTGGTGTCGCTGTTGGACAATGTTTCTTTAGGAAAAACAAGTGATTTTATACTCTTTTTAATGTTATATATTAATATAACTATAAATATTTCTAGAAATTAATAATTTTATTCAGTTAGGATGCACCAAATCACATATTAGAATTATTTCTGTAGGGTCATGTCACATGTGAGACTAAATACTGAAATAATGGTTGCTGAAAATTCAGCTTTGCCATCACAAATAAATTACATTTTAAGATATATTAAAATAGAAAACGGTCATTTTAAATTGTATTATTTCACAGTATTACAGTTTTTACTGTATTTTAATCAAATAAATGCAGCCTTGGTGAGCATAAGAGACTTCTTTCAAAAACATTAAAATCTCTTTGAACTTTTTAACAGTAGCGTATATAGAACTGCATACTGAACCATTTTATTTGATGTTGTGGCATTAGAGCTCTTAAATCTGGAAAAAGACAACAAGATCACAAAAATGTAATACCAGTGGAGAGAACCTGAAGAATTTGATGGCTGGGGTGTCCAATTCTGCTGCCTTCCTGCAAAGTTTAGCTCAAACCTGTGTTAATTAAACAAATTAAGGTAAGCTCTGCAGGAAGGTGATCCTCTGGAAACAGAATTGGACACTTACAATTTAGCCAGAGAAGTTCAGCACGATGGAAAGCGACCTGCCAATTCAGAACCACGGAGAGCGTCCAAGAACTTCACAGCTAGGTCCAAAATGGGTAATTTTGTGACATAAACAAAGCCTGCAGTTTTCAGAACCAATGATAGTCTGCATCATCCTAATTATGCCATCCTCTTTCACACCAGTCTGGTTGACCAAACTCTTTATTATAAGGAGAGTAATTAAATGCTCTGCATAATTATTTACCCCTCAAAAAGCTGCACATCGTCAATGATCTGTGATTCATTATTGTTGAGACACATGAAGGGCACCGTCATAATGATCCTAATTATGATAATCATCAATCCTTAAAAGAGAATTCAGTCACTTACGGAGGTGTAGATGTATCCCTCGCTGTTCATGCCCAGGTAGAAGCCAGTCTTCGATCCCTGAATTGCCACTATCCGCAGACCCACAGGAATCAAGTTGAACTGTGCTGTGGGATGAAATCAGAGAAATTCATGCTCAGAGTAATAGATTAAACACTCAACAAAGAAGCAAAAACAGTGTCAGGTGTCAGAGAGAATAGAAAATGCAGGTAGAAAGTGGGCAGTTCTTGGGTAGAATAAGCCGCAAGACAACCAAACTTTTTGCCTGGAGTCAAAAGTCTGGCTTTGAGAGACTAGGGACAATGTGACATAGGATGAAACAGGATAACAGAGATGAAGACGAGAGCGACACATACGAGCAGATGTAAAACTGACAGGGATGGAAAAGATAATGGCATGAGGTGGGGGAAGGTATACAAGAGGGACTATCTGTCCTATGTCTGTTGTCCTTGATAGAAAGATGGATTGTGTTTGATATGGATCATTCAAGGAACATCACAGAGTTAATGCTTCTAAGAGATAGCAGAAGATAAAACCTGGCAAAATAAAAGGCAATGAGAGGGAGAGAGATATTCCCTCACAGGCTAAGGAACACTGGGTAAATATTTCTGCAATTAGTCTTCAGTGAGATTTCCTGCTGGAGTTTGACAAATATATGACAGTATCTAATTGGTGTCGGACAGTATCGTAACAATTTAGCACCATCAAATTCACCTCATTTGGCATGTAGTGTTTAGGATTCATGTCAGACCTCCGTGTCAGAACGTTCATTGGATGCTGCAGTCGTATGGTTATTTAATATGTGCGACAGTCATTTCAATAGACAAGCGTGACATGTAAGCTAGTCCTTGACAACCCAGGCAGGAATGTGCTACACTTGTGCACCCTGACAACTGCCATCCCAATAAAATACTTCTCAATCTGTTACTCACACACTAAAAAAAAAAGCTCACATAGAGCTACAAAAGGCACAATAACTCATGACGCTTCACGTGTCTGCTCTCCTTGGCATGGTTTCCTCTCTCCTTCACTGTCTCTTTCACTTCATGAACAGCATGTTATTGACTCAACATAAAATACAACATCGTACCACTGAGGCCTCAGACTAAACCTGTACAGAAGAATTGACTTCCAGAAATGGACAAATGTGTCACAATAACAAAATCTTTGGTTGACTCCAGAATGCATGCATGTTCTACACTGTTAAAAGTAAATATTCTTTAATGGTTCTTTGGATCGCATAAGGTGCATTTATGCTGAATTAACTGCTAGAGTTTGTGAAGTTGTGATGCTGCTGGTTGCTAATAGTAATAAAATCACCTGACTTTCACTGTCTGCATTCCCATTGGTGGACACTGCATTGCATAACTGCTCATTTACATACAGGAAAACTCTGCTCAACTTTGTTGCATCGCCAGTGGTTGCACATAAGCCTCAAAAAGGCAAATTAAAAATGAATGAATTCTGAGCAACCATTTAACCATTAATTTCAACCAATATGAAAATTCTATACTTTTATTTTATTCTAAATTAGTTACAAATAAAACATTAAAAACTAAAAATCTATCTTTTTAAATGCTACAAGTGAATTTAGGCATCACAAATTGTAATGTACAATATGAAAAATGGATATTCCTTCGGAAATTTGCTAAAGATTATATTTAACAGTGTTATTACATTATTAGTGTTTTTAAAGAATATAACTTTGAGTGTTAGATGATGGTGAAGGTAATGTAAATGTAAAAATAGAGGAAATGAACATGAACAATTAAATATCCAATATAAGTTGATTCTGATAAAAAAAAAATCAGCTGATAATCGATATACTATACATCTCTAGACAGGCTGTAAAACCCAGCTCAGTTCTACTTTGAATCATTATGTTTAAGAATTAAGGGTGCATGATATTGACAAAAAATTTGATCTTTATTTTTTTGAGGGGAATTTGTTGATAATAATTAGACCATATTTTGGTGAGTGTGTTTTTGTAAAGCTGCATCTGAAGTGACATATAGTTGTATTTACATAGACAGTTTAATGGAGCTCAGAGGTGGCATAACTGCATTTACACTACAATTTCAATAACCATAAGTATATCAAATATTTTTGAAATATTTATATTTTATACAATTTTTGAAATATTCAATGTTTACAAATTCAATTATTGAATATAGAAATATGAAATAATTAAAAAGTTAAATGATTTTTAAAGATCAAAATAAAACTGACAGTAGGTGACAAGTCAATGAGTGGGTCATTAAATGCGTTACTGAATCATTCACTCAAACCATTTGTTCAAAAATGCTGATTCATTCAGTAACGAAACACCCCTGTGTTTTGCTCACAGATATTTAGTTTTTGCAACTTGAGTGACATACTCTATAATGTCGGCTTGGACATTATTAAAACAACAATTACGAAATTATCGTAGATGATACATATTGCACACCCCATATTACAACAACTGCAAGAGTGAATAAATTAATTTGCAGAAATTATCTGCTTTGGCTAGGCCCCTTAATTCTAGTCCAGACAAATATTAATGCTACGGCATCTTCAATCATGTCGCTGAGTGTGAATCCCCAGAGTGGCACCAGTGACCATGGGCCAAGTGTTACACACCTGGCCTTAGGCCTGACATACCGGACATATGCCAACAATGGGCTCTCAAATTAATTACAACACACAGACAGACAGAAATGTACGTGAGGAGACTGTGAGACTGAAGAAATTAACAACATGAACATCAGAAGTTCATTTTATGTCCGTCTAGCGGTCACAGGCATGGACACAAACAGACACACCTCAATAGTTTCTACAACTGACCAACCAGAGGTCACACTGCGCCTGTCAGGCGTGAATAACGAGTGAGAAAGGACACACGCTTACAGAAGCAGCTGTTCTCGTCCCTTGTGCCGTCCATGGTGCCATCCGGCAGCATCTGCAGGTAGTATCCGTGCTGGCTGTACAGACGGGTGACGATGCCTTTTAGCTGTGGCTCTGCAGAGAGAAAACAGTCACAGGCACACAATGTTAGTCCGTGGAGAAAACATCACAGCTTGACCTATACAGGCACAACATCATTAAAGCTTACACAGAGTCTATTCATTAACAACAGTTATGCTGCACAGGTCATGTTGCCATGTTGTGCACATGTTTAGAGACAGGGGGCCTTTCTTCGTACGTCGCTAACTCTGTTAGCTGGATTTGATTGTTGACGATTTGGCATGATCTCGGATTATTTGGTACTTTGAAGCTCATCCTGAACTTGCTGTCATAGCAACAGGTCCGTAAACTTAAACCTGCTCAGGAACAGGCTTGTTTCCTGTAAACAGGATTAGATTGCATCTTTTTAAATGGAATTGATATTTAAAATCTGTCCCAGCCACTGCTACTTTATTACAAGAGTACCCTACTAATCCGGGGACAATAATTTAAAATAATAATAATTAAAAAATTAATTTGAAAATAATATTATAATGTTGTGTAATCTATAATACTATAAACACAGCCAGTTTTACTCATTGAAAGAGTTATTCATGATAAAATAATTACTTTATAATTGTATTAGAGTCTTACACACATGCTACAGCCTACAGTTAATCTGAGTCGTGCATTAATTTGAGTGCTGACAGCTATTATGGGAGTGGCTTGATGGAGCGCAGGAGACGCAGATAAATTGATCTTGACCCTTAAGAAACTTTAATTAATGCTGTCACGTAACAAATCTGCTTCAAAGATAAAATTACATGAATTGCTAATTACAACATTGAAATAAAAATGTAAAGCCTGTACAAATACTAGAAATCATGAATATAAATAATTGGGAATCATGTAAAAAATGAATAAAATAAAATAAAAACAGTGCGCATTTCATTTATCTATTATAACATTTATGTAGTTTTGTTCATTTGACTGTTTCCTTATAAAGGTCTGGAAATTTGTCAAGTCTTTCGTCAGGTGTCTTTTTGAATTATATGATGTCATTACGTTGCTGTCTTGCCGCCAGCCAAACGCTGCATTGCTGATCGTGGTTTAGAGTATCGATACATCTGCCCTTTACAGGGAACACGAGAACATGCCTTAATCTTAGACAAATTAATCCAGATATTTGAATTTGATATTTGAAGAACCAAATTAGCCACAGATCGGTTATCACGATTAGAAGATCTGGCATCTTTCAAATCATCTCAGACGTATTAAGAGAGGTACGAAGACAGGCCCAGGGAATTCAGTTCAAACATCCTTATGTAAACAAATATTAAAACATGGAAGAAAACTATTTATTTCCATCAAACATTTGGGGTCAGTAAGCTTTTTGTTTCATTAAATTGATCAAAAGTGACAGAACACATTTATAAATGCTGCTGTTTTGAACTTTATATTCATCATAGAATCCTGACAAACAATGTATCACGGTTTCTAAAACAAAAAATACACAGAAAAAACAACATTAATACAGTTTTTCTGAATTGCTAAAACACATGTCTTGAAACCGTCACTCATTTTCTCCAAACCTTAAACACAAATCCAAATACTCAAACTAAATTCACGAAACATCTGACTCTTCCATCAAAATCAAACAATCACTGCAAAACCATTTAACTTGCACTCAAAATCAAACGGTACTCTCAGATCACACACACGAGTCAATAAAATAAACACTACAGAGAAAAATGGAGAACACTGCATCCAGAACATTACAGAAAAAGTATATTGTATTGAGTAAACAATTTTGCAATTCTGTAAAAAGTATAGTAATTGCAACCGAGTAAGGTGAATATATTGTATAGGCCTACTGTATGTGCAAGAATAGTATTGTGCTGAATAGTCCAACTGCAAAGGCCAAAAAGGTCAAATAAAACTCTAAATGAATAGCATGTTACAGTACACTCAAATACTGTAAGTTGTGCAATTGTAAAATCAGGGTTAATGAGAGATTCATTCTGTCTCAGCAGCATCATTCATGTCTTTGTGCTTGAGTCCGGCCTGAGGACTTTGTCCACATCACAAGTAATCTTGTCTTTTTTGCTAGACAAAGAGAAAAAACCCTCTGGTGTGACAGATCCAGCCATGATAACACTCTCTAAACCTTACTCTTTCTCTCCTCATCCTCCACTTCTTA